TTGAGGTTGGGAGCTAATGAAATTAATGTTTTAAAGCAGAAAATAAAATTAACAAGCTTTTCCTCCCAGGAAAAAAAAAATTAAAAAAGGAGAGAGGTTGGTACATCCTGCCTTTCTTCTCTATAAAGCAGTTTTAAGCCCATTCAGATGTTTGAGTTTATAGAAAACTGTTTAAGAAATTGGTTGTAAAGGGGGAAAACTTACCTAGAGCTACTGTGAAGAAACACGGGTAACACAACTTCATCTGATTTATGCTTGAGCAGGATCAAGCCAGGGTTTAAAGGTGTCTTCTGATGCCATGGGCAGGAGAATTGGGAAGGATGACATGAATTAAACCAGGAATCAACACGACCAGGTGCCCATTTGGTGGTAAGAATAGGAAATGGGGATAATAGGACTTTAAGGTCCCTTCCAACCCAAACCATTCTGTAATTTTCATTAATCTTAATACACTGATGTGAAAAACCTTAATCACCAGCTAATTGTTGGGTGTCTTAGATCAGCAGAACTTTGAATTACTGAACTGAACTCATTTCCTCATCTTATTTGTCAACTCAGACACATTTCTTGAAGAAATAATTCAAGTTTTGTTGTGGTTTATCCAGTTATCTCATTCCAGGACTTGTGGGAAAAAAAAAAAAAACCAGAATGAACCCACCAACCAGTTCATGAGCCAGAGAGTTTCTTTCTGCCAGTGGCTCTGCCTGGTTTTGTGACACTCAGTGCACCTCAGGTGCTGGTTTTCAAGGAAGGAAAGAAAGGAAAAAGGGAAGAGAGAAAGGAAAGAAAGAAAGGAAAAAAGGAAGGGAGAAAGGAAAGAAAGAAAGGAAAAAAGGGAGAGAGAAAGGAAAGAAAGAAGGGGAAAAAGGGAGAGAGAAAGGAAAGAAAGAAGGGGAAAAAGGGAGAGAGAAAGGAAAGAAAGAAGGGAAAAAAGGGAGAGAGAAAGGAAAGAAAGAAGGGAAAAAAGGAAGAGAGAAAGGAAAGAAAGAAGGGAAAAAAGGGAGAGAGAAAGGAAAGAAAGAAGGGAAAAAAGGGAGAGAGAAAGGAAAGAAAGAAGGGAAAAAAGGAGAGAGAAAGGAAAGAAAGAAGGGAAAAAAGGGAGAGAGAAAGGAAAGAAAAAAGGGAAAAAAGGGAGAGAGAAAGGAAAGAAAGAAGGGAAAAAAGGGAGAGAGAAAGGAAAGAAAGGAAGAAAGAAATAAAGGAATAAAAAAAGAGAAACTGAAAGAGAAAGAAAAAAGAGAAAAAAAGAAAAAGGAAGGAAGAAGGAAAGAAAGGAGGAAAGAAAGGAGGAGGAATAAAAGAAGGAAGGAAGCAAAGAAGGAAAGAAAGAAAGAAAAAAAGAAAGAAAGAACCAGAAATTATTGTCAGTTTTGCAGTGGAACAAGATCCACTGGTTCACAACCCTCTGTGAAAGAAACCATTTCCCTGCCTTTATTGACATCCAAGCACTTCCAGGTATTTCTGCCAGGGCTTTATAAACTGTTCTTGCTCCTGTCACGTATCCTGCTTGGCTGGGACTTTGTGCAGCAAGAATAGCACCACTCAGGAGCATTCCCACCACACAAACAGCTTGGCAAGTGAGCTCATTTATCAGCATATTACAAACACACCACCTAATGACCCACCAGCCCATTTCCTGCACTTGGACTGGTGTTCCAGCATTCATGGCTGTCCAAAGCCCTCATTCAGGTTGATATCTAATCACTTGGCAGGATCTATTGTGATGTAAATAGAGGAAAACCCTTGGGAATCGTCCACCTTCACTGGGCCACCTTCGCTCCTGGAAAGGCTTCCCAGAAAATGTGTACTGGACTATGAACAGCTGGTCTCCATCTTCTCCAAAAAGCCACTGTGAAAGCAGTTTCTGGGGGTTCTTTGCACCTCAGAGGCTGTTACTGAGGTGTTTGCAGTGTCAGTGATCAGTCATAGAATTATGGAATGGTTTGGGCTGGAAGGGACCTTAAAGATCATCTCATTCCACCCTCTGCCGTGGGCAGGGACACCTTCCACCAGCCCAGGGTGCTCCAAGCCCCATCCAACCTGGCCTTGGACACTTCCAGGGATCCAGGGGCAGCCACAGCTTCTCTGGGCAACCTGTGCCAGGGCCTGCCCACCCTCCCAGCCAGCAATTCCTTCCCAAAATCCCACCTAACCCTGCTCTCTGTCAGTTTAAAGCCATTCCCCCTTGTCCTGTCACTCCATCACCAGAAACCACCAAAAAGTCTGGTCCCACATCCTTTTTTTTATCATTCCCAGTCTCAGCAAACTGCTTAGAAATGCCATTTTGTCTTTGAGAAGCCAGTGCTGTCGTTGACCTTCAGCAGTGCAGCAAAACCCTCTGCCACAACTCAAATCCCCACAGAACAAATGGCAAAGGGGATCAGCCCCAAAAATGAAGGTTTGGGATGAAAAGCTCCCAGTTCTGGAGGTGCTACAAGGTAATAATAGAGTGGCAAACAGGCTTTTTGTTGGCCAAATTAAAGCAGTTACCTCACAGGTCTTGTTATTACTTTTTCTTTTTCCATAACAGGAATCCAGCATTTTAATTTCTTGTGATGGTTTTATACCAGAATTTGTGTGATTGGGATTTCACTATAAGATGCAATGGGAGGGATGGGCTTCTTTGTTCATTATTTTGATTTTTAATTGGTTGAACACGCCGTGGAATGATTTCATTTTGCCAGGATTTTAGAAGGGAATGCCTTGATTTGCTATTCCTGCCGGGCAGTGATCACAACCCGTGAAGGACACGGGAGCTGCCCTGAATCCTGGACGAATGGAAGTTCCCCAAAACCCACTGGAGGAGGTGGAAATATCCATGTTAACCCTAATGCACCTTCAGCCAGGACTACAGGGAAAAAATATGAGGACTGAGCCTAAGAAATGAGCCCATTTCATTCTGTAGGATTTGGGAATAGGGTCCTAGGAATTGTTTTTCCAGTGTCTGTGCACAGATTGCTAATTCTGCCCAAGAGCTCAATGCTCATTAAGTTCTGATAATTTTTCTTTTTAATTTATTTTAGTGAATATTTTAACATCAGACATCCAGTTTCATTCTAGCACTGACACTTGTAAAACACCCAGCTCGGAGCCACGGAGGTGGTTTCTCTCCCTGGCGATGCACGTTTCAAAAACGTGCTGAAATTTGATTTTTGATGAGGTCAAAACATTGCAGCGCCACTTAAAATATTGGCCAGAACAGCCTGTCAAGCACATCTGTCACAATGCTCTTGAAATCCGTGTTTCAGGGGGCTGTGAAAAAGCAAACAGTGAAGTCAGAGTAAAATTAGTACCTTGTCACGAGGAAACATTCGTGCCTTATGGAAATGAGAAACCGAGCAGGCAATCACTGCTGAAAATCCCTGTGTATCCCACCAAATTCCACGGTTTAGGCAAAGCAGCAGCTTTTGTTGGGAAAAAAACAACGAGCTGTGGCCAGTTCTGCTTCGGTGCTGGTTGAAGGGCACAAACTACAACCCAAAATACCACTTTTAACAGAAATGCCCTTGAAACACCTGCCTGCAAAGCCCTGATTGAAGGTTGGCAGGTCTGGGGATGTCGAAACCTCCTTTGTATTTATTCCCAAAAAACCCTTCTCCAGAAAGAAAGGAGAGGAAGAAACAGACAGTGGTAAACTTTGTGTCACAACCCTTCTGAACTCAAAGTACAAATTCAAAGTGTAAATTCGAAGTGTAAGTTCGAAGTATAAATTCAAAGGATAAATTTGAAGTGTAAATTCAAAGTATGAATACAAAGTATGAATTCAAAGTATGAATATAAAGTATGAATATGAAGTATGAATTCAGTGTAAATTCTGTGTAAATTCAAAGTATGAATTCAAAGGATAAATTCAAAGTTTGAATTCAAACTGTAAATTCAAAGTGTAAATTCAAAGCGTAAATTTAAAGTGTGAATTCGAAGTGTGAATTCAAACTGTAAATTCAAAGTATAAACTCAAAGTGTAAATTTAAAGTGTAAATTCGAAGTGTGAATTCAAACTGTAAATTCAAAGTATAAACTCGAAGTGTAAATTCAAAGTATAAATTCAAAGTGTGAATTCAAAGGATGAATTCAAAGTGTGTATTCAAAGTATAAATTCAAAGTGTGAATTCAAAGGATGAATTCAAAGTGTGTATTCAAAGTATAAATTCAAAGTAAAGTACAAGTTCAAAGTAGGAATCCGAAGTGTGAATTCAAAGTATAAATTTGAAGCGTAAGTTCAAAGCGTAATTCAAAGTACGAATTCAAAGTGTCAATCCAGAGTTATCTCAGCTTTGTTTGGTGCCACGCGCAGAACTCCTCAGGCAGCTCCGTCCCGCTGGCTGATGGTGGGGAGCTCACACGCAGTCACTCAGCCTGGATCTCGCTCAGCCTGGATCTCACACAGCCTGTATCTCACACAGCCTGTGTCTCATCTCACACGTAGTCGCTCAGCCTGTATCTCACATTCAGCCTGTATTTGTATCTCACATGCTCAGCCTGTATCTCACACTCAACCTGCATCTCACAATCTCACATGCAGTCGCTCAGCCTGTATCTCACACGTTGTATCTCACACGTTGTATCTCACACGTTGTGTCTCACACGTTGTATCTCACTCAGCCTGTATCTCACACGTTGTATCTCACACGTTGTATCTCACTCAGCCTGTATCTCACACGTTGTATCTCACACGTTGTATCTCACACATTGTATCTCACACGTTGTATCTCACTCAGCCTGTATCTCACATGTTGTATCTCACACATTGTATCTCACACGTTGTATCTCACTCAGCCTGTATCTCACATGTTGTATCTCACTCAGCCTGTATCTCACATGTTGTATCTCACACATTGTATCTCACTCAGCCTGTATCTCACACGTTGTATCTCACACGTTGTATCTCACACGTTGTATCTCACTCAGCCTGTATCTCACACGTTGTATCTCACACTCAGTCGCTCAGCCTGTATCTCACACGTTGTATCTCACTCAGCCTGTATCTCACACGTTGTATCTCACACGTAGTCGCTCAGCCTGTACCCGCCGTGGCTCTCAGATGTCAGGGAAGGGGCAGGGTTTCCCTCGCAGGCAGCGGGTGGTGAGCAGGAGGGATCAGTCCGGAGCTGGAGAGCCACCCCATCGCCACGACACCAGGCGGGCGAGCACAGCAAGGCTCCCCCCAGCAGCGTCAGCAGCGCCGAGGCGAAGCCCAGGTACAGGGCCTGGCCCAGCTCGTACCTCACCCCGCCGGGCGGCGCGGGGTTGTAGAAATCCATCACCGCGTCGTTGGCGCTCCAGGACACGGGCACGAGGCAGAGCAGGCCGGCCACGAGGAACACGGTGCCGCCGGAGACGGCCAGCGAGGCCTTGGCGGGGTGGGCGTCGGCGCAGCGCGTGCAGCGCATCCCCGGCAGGGCCACGGCGCAGGCCAGCGCCGACAGGCAGCACGACGCCACCATCATGGCCCGCGCGGCACGCAGGTCGGGCGGCAGCGCCAGCTGCGAGCGGTGGGCCTGGCACTGGAAGGCGCCGGTGCCGTGCCACGCGCACTCCATCCACAGCCCCTTGGTGTGGGACACGGCCGTGACGACGGCGGCGCCCACGTGGGCCGTCCGCCACCAGTGGGGCAGGAGGGTGGTGATCAGCGTCCCGAGCAGGCCCAGCAGGCTGAGGGAGAAGCCGAGTAACTCCACGGCCCAGCTCGCCATGGTGAGGTTTGTGCTGCCTCTCCCTCTTCAGTGAGGCGCCTCCACTCGAGTTCCTTCGGAAGACGCGGGCTTTCCTCGGCGGATCCGCGGCTGTTTTGCTTTGACGCCTCCTGCCCTCCTAATAAAAGGTAATTGAGGGAAAAAAGAAGTTAATTATTACCCAATCCATCGCCTCTCCAGCCAGTGAGCTGCATTCCGGGTCCAGTCAGTGCGATAATTAGCATAGTTATCGCTGTTAATCGTACTTTCGTGGAAGTAATGGGAAAAGCGAGCTTGCCTCTCCACTTACATAAACAGCCTGCTGCTGCCCACTGGGAAGAGAACTCCAGACAATTTATGAAATGGGAAAAAAAATATTTTAAATGCAAATATTCCTCTTCCCAGCAGGCTCTTCAAAAAAACAAACACGGTTTCCTTTCTGAAGCGGAGAATTAGCCGGTGTTAACACTTGGAGCGAGGGAGATTTATAAAGTAGGGGGCTGCAGGTTGCTTTACCCGATGAAAACATTCCCAGAAGGTCATAGCAGGACTAGGAAAACAATAAGGGTGTATTTGCTCAAAGTGGGGAGCAAAGAGAGTGATTTAAAACCTGTGGAAGAGGATAACAAGTATTGGATTAAAGTCGCTTTCCTGCCTTGCCAGTATTTCTTGAGGTTGCATTTTAATAAAGCAGCTCGAAGGGGAATAATTTTCCTTAGTGTCTGTGGAGTTTCAGCTTATGATTTTAGGCTGTGAAACCAGATGTGCATCGTGGAGCTTCTGAGGGGCGACACCTCTGGTCGTGTATAAATTCAAGCTGAAAAACAAGGAGCAGGAACTCTTCCCTCCTGCATAAATTGCAGATTCAGGGGTCTTTTCCAGTGGCTGCCTTGCAGGGTCTGTTATCCATCATGCATTATGTGTGTGGGCAGAAACCTGATATTTTAAAATGTAAAATAGCCCATTGCATCAAAATCCATCTTGGAGCTCAGAAACAGGAGCAAATTTAGGCTCCGATTCTGCCAAGGCCGTGCATGTGCTGAACTCGTGTCCGCAGCAGAAAGTGTTTGCAGGGCTCGGCCTCAGCAGGCAAAGGGAGGAAAACCATCTGGCCAAACTAAAGGATCTTCTAATCTTCTCATTCCACACCCCCTGCCATGGGCAGGGACATCTTCCACCAGCCCAGGTGGCTCCAAGCCCCTTTATCCAACCTGGCCTTGGACACTTCCAGGGATCCAGGAGCAGCCACAGCTTCTCTGGGCAACCTGTGCCAGGGCCTGCCCACCCTTCCAGCCAGGAATTCCTTCCTCATTTTTAATCCAAACCTACTGTCAGTTTGAATCCACTCCCCCTTGTCCTGCCACTACATGTTCTTGTAAAAAGTCTCTCTCCAGAGTCTCATCTTTCTTGTAAGATGGCAGGGGGGTCTCCTCCTCAAACAAATCAGGATCTGCCTTGGACATTGTGCCAAAAGAAAGGGAAGAATTGAAAAGCACAGGGATTTGATGGGCTAGGCAGGACAGCAGCACAGGCTGAGGGTCTTGTGCTTCCACGTGTTCCTTTTATTCAAAGAGTGTCTGCTGTGTGCAGAATATGGGCAGGGATGGGATGTTGGACAGGATTTGCAAAGAAGTTCCCAGAAGAAAAGAAAAGAAGAGAAGAGAAACCCCGAAGTCCAGCTTTGCTTTCAGAGGAACACAACAAAAGTAAGCAAATGCTTACAGGCAGTACTGGAGATGTTTAATTTCTGTTCCAGAAGTCCTCAGTGGATGTTTGCCTTCCAGATTGTTTGGGTTTGGTTCACACAGTAAGGAAAATTAGGCAGTATTTTCCATTTTTGTGTTCCTGATTGTTTCCTCTGAGACACTTTGGGGTGTCTAAGAGGGATTATCCTGGTCATCTTCCTGCAGGATCAGGGAGATTGAGACCTGGCTCTGGGGCACAGCAGGATGATGAGGGACCTTCCCAGCTGGCACAAGAGATCTGCAACGGGGTTGGAAATGGAGTTTGGGTCTCATACTCTATTTTTAGCTGTCATTAAGGGGTAATTTTTAACTATTAGCCATTAAAAGCTTTCTAATTTAGGAAACCAGCATTAATTAGCCCCACTCGCTCGGCGTCATGTTCTCCATGTGCCTTTCTCAGCAGTTGCCAGCTGCCCCTGGTGACAGTGACACTTCCACAGCCCCCCCCTCCTTGGTGCCAAGTGGCCAAACCAGCAGCAGCTTCACAGGTTTTACCTCCAGGAACATCAGCAGCCTCGTGGAAATGTCTCACCTTCCAGCCCTGCTCCCAGTGGCTCTGACGAGGAAGGACCCCTGCAGTGGGAGCAGGTTTTGGTGTTTGACCTGGTCAAACACAAAACAAACAAACAAACAAAAGGCAATTTTTTATTATTTTTTGTTTGTTTATGCACGGGTTGTGTTTGTTAATTTTTTTTTTTTTTTAGAAATTGGACAAGTTTTGCTTTCTCACTCGAGGGGAGGCCTCTTGTCCCAGGGAACCAGCAACAAGACAAGAGGGAACGGCCTCCAAGTGTGCCAGGGGAGGCTCAGGTTGGCCAGGAGGAGGAATTTGTTGCTGGCAAAGGTGGTCAGGCCTTGGCAGGGGCTGCCCAGGGAGGTTTGGAGTGCCCAGCCCTGGAGGTGTCCAAGGCAGGCCTGGCCGTGGCACTCAGTGCTCTGGGCTGGGGGACAAGGTGGGGATGGGGCACAGGGGGGACTGGATGACCTTGGAGACCTTCTCCACCCTCAGTGATTCTGGGATTCTATGAACCAGAGCCAGCCTTTGCAGGGAAGTGAAGATGGCATCAGTCTGGGATGAAAAACAATGAGAAAAAAAAGAGACAGCGTCCACATGAACCTTCATGACCTTCAGAGCCCATCTAAGCACGGGGTGGTTGCAAAATGACGTGACAATTTGCGAAGAGAAACTCTGAAACTTCTGAATTTCCTTACTCTGCTGGGTCACACCAGCTCTATTTTCACGAGCACAAGGGCTGGAAGGACAAGTTTTCCACAGAATCTCTAGTTTTGCCTGATGCCTGTGCTGGAGAGGAGCAGCCATAGCCGGGATAAATCCTTGGTTGTGCTTTCCACAGCTGTGACAGCCTTGGGAGACACGGCTCCAGAGTAAGCTCCAAATAAACAGCGCAGACTGATGTCACTAATCTGGGTATTTACCCAGGATTAAATAACAGATGCATGTTTTACTGCTGTCTCTTTGATTGTTTCTCATTTTACTGGTTCCCCACCCGGATCAGTCTTATCCTTTTGTCGCTGCTCTTTCCAAGCCCTTTCTCCACACCTCGGAATTGCTGCTTCTCCTGAGGGCTGTGACTGTGGTGCTTCTCCTCCCCTGGGCTGCAGGAGGTTCTACAGACGAGTTTTAATCCAGCAATTTTGGTATTTTCCTTTGCCAATTTGTGTTTTAACCTCAACACCTTCCAATTCTGCACTAATTCCCTCAGAAAACTCCAAAAATCCATTTCAGCCTCTGTTCTGGGAGGGCAAAGTGTTGTGATGGGATGTCCTTTCCAGATATCCCTGCCAGCTGCAGGGCAATGGACCTCAGCTCAGCCAAGCCTGTAAATTTACACTCATTTTACCTTTTCAATTAATTTTATTTAACAATTTTCACGCAGCCTGATTAATGAATGTTCAAGTGCCAGCTGGATCGGAGCTTTAAGGTGTGCTCAGGTGGTGGCTTCGCCCGGCAGGTGAATGAGGTTCCACTCTGACACTGTGAGAGCTCAGCTCTTTCAGCTTCCCAGGCCCTCTCCTTGCTCAATCCTGCTCAAATGTTTTTAGGGGACAAAAAAAATTTGGTAAGAAGAGCTCCCTCCTTGTATGTGGTGGGCGAGGGAGGGCAGATCTGAGGGGGAACAAGGCCCGCCTGGCTCCCAGCAAAATTCTTCCCTTTATTTCCCCCCTCTTTATTTTTTTTTTTTTTTTTTGAAAGGAGAGATCAGGGAATCCATAAAAGCTTGAAAGGCACACTGTAACCAACCCTGATCCTACACCTACTCCCACCCCCTCTCTGTGAAACGAGAGGGGCTGACACGGATCAGGGCAGCGCAGCTGCTGCTCTGCCAGATGTGCAGGAGGAGGAGGAGGAGGAGGAGCCTTCACCCCTCCTCAGATCCAGAGAGCCTCCAGGACCTTCCCCGTGGCTCCACAGGGTTGTCACTGGCCTTGCACCACCTCGTTGTTTCCTCCTGCATGCACAGGATCCTCCCCATGGGTGCCAGAGCAGCTTTTTTGGCTGTGGGTGCTGCCCTTCATTTCAGGGCTTGTTCCTGCCTGGGCCCAGTTGCTTCTGGCTTTAAAATTTTCATTTTAAATTTTATTTCTTTGGAATGCTCTGGAGTGGACACCAAATCGTTTTCCCGTCATGGAATTACACGACTTTTTGTGGTGTGTTATTTGGTTTTGTTTTTTTTTAGAGGAGGGAACGGAAAGTTTGATGTTCACCTTGAATTTATATAAAAGTCAACAGACCTGGAAAAACTAGAAAGGCCACAAAAAAAACCAGAATCCAGTCCACATAATTCCACTTAACTTTGCTCCCCAAATTTTAGAGTCTTGTCACCTCAGTCCTACAGAAGGTACCAGGCTGAGGCCGGTACCTTCAGAGAGAGTTTGAGGTCACTGCTGGGATGAATCGCCCTCAAGGGTTGCTACCTGCTTTTTGGGGTCAGTAGGGGCAGCTGGGAGGATCCCAGGCTGATCCCAGGCCTCAGGGATGAGGATTGCAACACAAAACCCCAAAAACAATTGGCATGGAACGAATGGGCAACGGGGTGAGGGGATGAAGGGGCCCTAACCAAGAATTCTGTATATGTATGTATTTCCTAATTTGTGCTTGTAGATATTTCTGCAACTGCTCATCTGGACTAGACCTTTCCAGGGCCACTAGAGCAATCCATCCCAGTGATTTCAAGCAGTTTGAGTTTTGGATCCTCGGCTTGAGAAACCTTCAAATGCTCAACTCTGTAACAGTCAGATTTAAGGTGGAAGAAC